CTTCTTTGTGTAATGGAAGCCATTGCTTGTTGAACAGTACTTTTTAGTTTGTGGGCCAGTCAGGGTCCCATTTTACGCATATGTTCTCTGGTTTGTTCTCCAGAGACCACAGATGGACTAACCACATGGTGTTCCCCTAATGTGTCTATTGAAGATTATGAGTTCTGTACCATTAGTGGAGATCTTAGGGACTCAGGTGCTCTACCTCCTCTTTGAGATTCCATCCAGCAGCTTGTCACCTAGTGATAAGGCTGCAGCCTTGGGGTGGGAGGTGGGGGGGCGCGCGTGCGCGCGTGAGCAGCTAATGATGTAAATCTGAGTCTGTGCTTAAAGCTCTCAGCTCACTTGGCAAAAGCCACTGCCACCAAATAGTTGGTAGATGCTGAGCACTCTGCCATCCATGGGCTTGGTCCTATTGTAGTTGTAAATCTTAGGCACTAGAAATTACTCTGGGCTGCGAGAGTAGGGTCACTGATCTCCCAAACCCTTCCCTGTCTGAGTTTCTGGTACTGTCTTGCATCTTCAACTTGTCTGCATCTAGACCCCATTCACTCTAAGACTACTTCTCCCGCTGTCTCCTTTATTGTGCTCTCATCCCCTGGGGTATGGCTGTCTCTAGGCCTGCTAGCTGCAGTCTGCTTATAAGAAGCTAATATAGATTGATCTATCTGACAGCTCCTGAAATCTGAGCTCTCCCCCAGCAGTGTGTCCAGTTTTCTGATGTGTCCTTCAGACTTACAGGGAAACCCAAAAGTCCCTAAACCCTGACTCTCTTCTGACGTCCAAACCTCCTGGTTATGGTTCAGTCCTAAAGACTGTCTGGCCACATGCTGTTTGCAATCAGTCGATGTAAACTGATCGCTCAGTAGTCTGGGCTGTCTATCTGCTGAGGCTAGATCTTTTGTTATGTTGAAATAGCCCTCAGGGAATGACGATGCTGTGTGGGGCTGCCAACTGCCAGTGCCTAAGTTAAGAGTCTTCCTCTCTATGTTCTGATGGCAGTCTGCCACCTGAACCCTGCCTGGGTGTCCCAACCTTCCCCGATTACCAAATGTTCCTTAATTTCTAGGCCCTCCCAGGTTGTGGCTCAATCCCAAAGCTTGTCTGGCCACAAGGTGCCAGCCAATAATCATTGTAAAACTGATCACTCTGTAATTTGAACTCTCTACCAGTAGAAGGCTATGTCTTGTTTTCTGGTATGGTGACCCCTAGGGCTACGAAGTTGTTTTCACTGCAAACCAGTTGACTCTCAATTTCCACTTACGACAGTTGTCCACCACATGGACACTGGCCAGGTGTGCAGATCACAGTGATCACTAATTATTTCTTTATTTTCAAGGCTCCAGTTGTGTATCAGTCTAGAGCCTGGTTAGCTGCAGGCAGCTTTATGTAATCTGATACCCCAGTTTCAAGCTGGAGGCCCTCCCATAAGATGATACCTAGCTGTTGTTCTCTGAGATAATGGGATATTAAGACTGCCTTTTCTGATGCTGGCCTGTTACACTGGGAGCCACTGACCATGGTAACTTCCTGCACTGGAGTTTAATGTTTGTAGGAAGCGTGGATTTTTCCCATAATTCAGTCTGCTGATCTGTCACAGAGGTAATTGGCTTACTTTGTGGAGGATATTTCTACTTTCCCTCTGGATCTGTTCTACCACTTTTCTGTTTTGCCATATTTGTCATCTGTCCTGTTTGTCTGTTGTGGTTTTCATGCTATTCCTTAGTTTTGCCTTTCCATATGTCTCTCCTTTATTACTCTGAATCTTCTCATTCATGGAGTCCAATTATAGGCTTTCCTCACAGTATCAGTTGACTTTTTTCAAGAGCCACCAAGGAGGTTGTCCCTAGCAGGGAAAAAGCCTTTTTGAGGGATGAAGGCAAGAGGGTGTGGCTGATATAAAGTGGACTGAGAGACTGTCATAATCTTTTTTTGTGGTTGTTGTTGGTCATGGGGCTTGAACTCTAGGCCTAGGCACTGTTACTGAACTCCTCAGCTCAAGGCAAGTGCTCTACCACTTGAGCCACAGTGCCACTTCTGGTTTTCTGGTGGCTAATTGGAGTTGAGTCTCACAGACTTTCCAGAACAGGGTGGCTTTGAACTATGGTCCTTAGTAGCAGGCCTGCTGGGCCTGTCATAATCTTTTTCTTTTTTTTAATTGTGAAAATACTGTACAGAGGGGTTACAATAACATGGGCAAGATAATGAGTACATTTCTTATCAAGCATTGTAGCCTCCTCCTTTGTTTCCCCTTCCCATCTGTCATAATTTTGATACCAGCATTTACTGGCTGTGTGGTCTTGAGTAAGGTGTATCTCTGTGACAGTTTTATCATTTGTAAAACAAGGATGATAATTTTCAATAATAAAAATAAACTATAAGCTTGATATCTCTGGTTTATGCCTCTAAGCCTAGCTATGTTGTAGATGAAGAATGAAAGAATGCAGTTCAAAGCCAGCAGAAAAGACTTCAAGACCCAATCTCAACAGAGGGAAGCTTATTGTGGTGGTATTTGTGTGTCATCCTGTTAACTATGGAGAGCCTAAAGCATGCAGATTATCAACTAGGCATGTGTCAGGGCAGTAAAACAAGATCCTATCTTTCAAATAACCAGCAGATGCATGGTTCAGCAGTAGGATACCTTGCCTATTAAGCAGTTCAAACCCTTAGTACCGTCTGTGTGAATGTAAATGTATGTATACATATATACATATATGTGTATATATACACACACACTTATGTATATGGAACACAAACCTGCTTTTAAAACTTTAGTTTCAATGTTCAAGAGGAAGTGTACTCAGTACCTCACTCATGTAATTGTAACCCTCTGTATAGTAGCTTTACAATAAAAAAAAACAAAAAAAAAAAAACTTTAGTTTCTAATTGTACTTAAAATTCAGAGTATTTACCATGGATTTCAGGGCCTTCATTACCTGCTTCTTGCCTAGTTTTTCTGAATTTTTCTTGGTTCCCTCACACACACCCTTTCACTCGTTCCATTTGCTTACTATCTGTACTGTAGTCATAGTTCCTTACCTTTCTACTTTGTAACACTGCTTTTTGTGGGCTATGTTTTCTGGACCAGTATATTCCTAAGTTTTGTTTGTTTTATGGATTTGTAGGTTGTTTTTTTTCCCCACTTAGTAAAGTATTTATAAATTCTAGGTTCAGAAATCTACTCTTTTTCCCCAGTTTTGTGGGAGATTATAAAAATTCTTAGAAGTGGAGTTGCTAGGTCAAAAGTTAGGAATGTCTTTGTATCTATGAATCCTACGGAGGTAAAGTTTGAGATCATACATATCTAAAAAGGTTTTACTGCCCTTACACTTGGTTCGCAGTTTCCCTGCATAAGAAGTTGTGTTTGAAATCATTTTTACTCAGAACAATGCAGTCATTAAATTTTTAATTTTAATTTTTGGTTGGTCATGGGGCTTGAACTCAACCCAGGCCCTGTCCCTAAGCTCTTTTACTCATGGCTAGTGTTCTATCACTTTGAGCCACAGTGCCACTTCCTGTTTTCTAGTACTTGATTGAAGATAAGAGTCTCATGGATATCTCTGCCTATGCTGAGTTTGAACCTTGATCCTCAGATCTCAGCCTCCCGAGTAGCCTGGATTACAGACATGAGCTACCAGCACCAGGCTTAATTTTTTATTTATTTTAAAATTATATAATTTAGGGACTGGGAAGGTGGCCCAGTGGTAGAGCGCTTGCCTTGCATGCCTGAGGCCCTGGGTTCGATTCCTCAGCACCACATAAGCAAAAAAATAATTGCACAAAATAAAATTATATAATTTAGTAATTCACTAATTCATAGTATTCCCTACCACCCACTGACTCTGTGTATGTATGTGTGTGTGTGTGTGTGTGAAGTGTTCTTTCCCTCGAACCATATCTACAGTCCCTCATTGTTTTTCTAGTTCTTGATAGACAGCTTCTTGATAGACTACCAAAAGAAGGAGATACTGTCCCCCACCTCTTTTGTTAGTTAAATTGGAGATAAGAGTCTCATATACTTTCCTCCTCAAGTTGGCTTCAAACCATGATATTTAGATTTCAGCCTCTTTAGTAGCTAGGATTATAGGCACGAGCCATCAGTGCCTAGCTATATACATATATATGTATATAACAGTATTTTATATTGAATGATAATCTTTATTCTTTTTTTGTTGGTGTTGGTCCTGGGGCTTGAACTCTGGACCTGAGTACTGTACCTCAGCTCTTCAGCACAAGGCAAGCGCTCTACCACTTGAACTACAGTGCCATTTCTGGTTTTCTAGTGGTTTATTAGAGATAAGAGTTTCATGGACTTTCCTGCTCGGGATGGCTTTGAACCATGATCCTCAGATCTCAGCCTCCTGAGTAGCTAGGATTATAGGCATGAGCTACTGGTGCCTGGCTTCTAATCTTTATTCTTTTATTTAAAAAGTCTCACAAATTTGAGAAGAGTCTTATCTACTCTTGGTGGCTCTGTCATTTTGGCATCTGTCCGGCTTAACAAAATGTTCTAGTATTCTTGTTTTTGAACAATAATAACAAGTCTTCGACTGCTTCCATGCTTGTCTTCCACCATCCTTTCTATATTGTTTGTTTATTTAGATTTACCTTCATTTCTATTACTCTCTAGGTTTTCCCTTTGCATTTGTTTCCTATGGCTGCTGTAATATATTATCACAAACTTGGTCATTTATATAACATTATAACATTATTTCTTACAATTCTGGAAGTCAGAAATCCAGAATAGATTCTACTGTGCCCAAACCAAGATGTCAGCACAGGTCCCTTCCTCTAGAGAAACTAAAGAGAATAGATTCTGTTGCTACTTAAAAAAAAAAAATCTAAATAGTAATGAAAGAAAGAAAAACTCCACTGTGCTAAATAATCTTTAAGCTCTTTGAGGTGTACTATTGGTTACTACATTGTATTTGTCTGTATTAAAGTATTTCTAATTGATATGCTGAATGAATGTATTTAAATTCCTTTAAAATGTTTTTTAGGTGTGGAATATCAAACAAATGATTAAGTTGACACAAGAACATATAGAGGCCCTGTTGGACAAATTTGGTGGGGAGCATAATCCACCGTCAATATACCTGGAGGTGAGATTTTTACTATCATCTTTGGATTAAGTTTGGGGGGGGAGGTGAGTTTTATATAAAGAATTTGCTCTTAAAATTTTGATTCTTTTAGGTGATAAATTCAGGAAAAGATATTGGAGAGAATTAGGGTTTGTTTGGGGTTTTTTTGAGTGAAATCAAGGAAACTTTTATTTCCTTTTGTCTTCCATAATAGCGCATCTCTCCAGTGTATTAGTAAGAATTAGTTTTGTCATATATAAAATACATATTAGTATATACATATTAATATATGTATATTACTTTTGCCATAAATAGTAGTATATATATGACTTTTGTCATATATATGATAAAACTAAATTTCTCTTTCAGTGTCTATTCCTCTATCTACTATCCAGCCTTTTCTTTTTGTAGTGCTGAAATTGAACCCAGGATCTTGCAAATGTTAGCCAAGTACTCTTACCACTTGAGCCATGACTGCAGCTCTTCCATAATTATATTATCTAGACTTCTGTTGTTTTAGTTATTACAATACACATAGTTTATATTTTGGAAAATAACAAAACTAACAGAGAAACCCTTTTTAAATATTACCCTGAGTAGTGTTTAGTGATACTAGTTCTGAAAATTTACAAAGTACATTTTCTAGAACAAGTTTTTAACTATATTGGTTGCTTTCTTATAAATAAAATTTATAATTTTAAAGTAGCCTAACATTGTTCACTTTTACTGTGTAATTGTGCCTTGAGATTTGTGTCAGTCCTTGAGCATGATTGTTTCCTTCTGGAAGTTAGTCAGATTCCACAGCAAGTAAGCTGTTGTGGAATCCAGGCAATCAGGTTCTCCAGTCTCCAGTTCACCTTTATTACCTTTCTCTATAATCACTAGTTAGAAAAGAAGGTAACCCTAAATTATAATGATCAGTTTACCATTTAGCTCCAAATACTAGAGATTTTAAAGCATAGATTGGAAGATTCCTAACTAAATTTCTATTTCAGTAATTTTTTTTATACAGTGATAAGCACTTGTTGTCTTGCATCTTCTATGGCTCAAAATAATCTTGAACTCAGTGACTGAGTGCTGTCTCTGAGCTTCTCTTGCTCAAGGCTAGCATTCTAGCATTGAGCCAGAGCTCTACTTTCAGCCTCTTTTGGTAGTTTATTGGAGATAAGAGTCTCATGGACTTTTCTGCCTTGGATGGCTTCAAACTGCAATCCTCAGATCTCAGCCTCCTGAGTAGTGAGGATTACAGGTATGAACTATCTGCATATGTCTTGTTTTATTCTATTTTAATTTTGCTGGTCCTGGGCTTGAACTCTGTGAAATACCTACAGAAATAAAAACACATCCATTTGCTTACCTGTAGTTCAAAAATAAACTCCTTGAGAAATGATATCAAAAGATATCTTTGATTCCCCTTTGTAATCTTTCTAAATGTTTGCAATTCTGCATCTGTTTGAGATGGTGGGGGAAATAGTGGACCATGAGTAAAGAACTAAGGATACACACATGCATGCCCCTCACTGCATGCAGGTATATGATTCCAAGGAGACTACTGTTGAGAATTTTAAATGCTCAAGGTGCATAGAGTTCATTCAGTACACTAAAATTACTCAAATTTACTTCTACCGTATATACAGTAGGTCTGTGCATCCATAAATAGGCTACATTACTGTTGCAAAAATTGCAGCTGTACATTAATATTTTTTATCTAAATGATTTCATGCTCTTTATCTTACAAAGTATGGATATTTGATTTTTTTCCCATAATGCTGCCCACGTTCTGCTAAAAACACATGTATTTAATATCACTTACATACCACATTAACTTTTACCTTGTTTTTTGGGAGCCATATTTTTCACAATTAATAATTTGGTATCTCACGTGGGTCATCTGACCTAGCCTTGGTCAAAAGAAACTTCTGCCAGGGTGTCCTGGGTAGATAGTGTCCCAAAATTCACTGACTACAGGTTATTACTCACATTTTCAAATACAGTTTGTACTTGATACAGAGGAGGTAATTTGGGATCCATAGTAAGAAGCATAGACTATTACTATTATTTGCTGGTTCTGGGGCCTGAACTGAGGGCCTGGTTGCTGTCCTTCATCCTCTTTGTACTCAAGGCTAGCACTCTACCACGTGAGCTACAGTGCCACTTCCAGTTTTTTCTGAGTAGTTTATTGGAGATGAGAGTCTCATGGACTGTCCTGCCTGGACTAGCTTCGAACCATATTCCTCAGATCTCAGCCTCCTAAGTACCTAGGATTACTGATACCCAGGTGTAAAGTATTTTTTTAATTTGAAGAATAAATCATTTTAACTGATGGCTATTTCAGAAAGGAGGTAGCAGTTATAGATCTGCTGAGCCCTATGGAGGAAATTTTGATTCTTTCAGTATGATCTGGCACTATTCAAGACTGAGAAAGTCTTGAATTTTGCCAACTCTTTTAACACTTCAACTCCTTTCTATGTTCTTTTTTTTTTTTTTTTTTTGTCTTGTCAGTCATGGGGCTTGAACTCTGGGCCCGGGCTCTATCCCTCAGCTCTTCATCTCAAGGCGTGCGCTCTACCACTTGAGCCATAGTGCCACTTCCGGTTTTCTGGTGGTTAATTGGAGATGAGTCTCATGGACTTTACTGCCCAGGCTGGCTTTGAACCGTGATCCTCAGATCTCAGCCTCCTGAGTAGCGAGGATTACAGGTGTGAGCCATGGGCGCCCAGCTCTGCGTTCTTTCAGAGTGTGTGGGAGGGGGTGTGAAACTTCATATATCTTTCTGAAAAAAGTAAATTTAATAAAAGAGGTGATAGTTATCCTTGCTGTAGTGTAATTTATATATTATGCTAAATATGTGGTTTGGGACATAAATTACTATTTGGCCAGAAAATTAGAAACTTCATGCTTTTTAACTTAAGTTTAACTTAAGTTTCATAGACCATCTAGATACAAAATATATGTAGGTCAAGTTTCTCAGTGTAATACAATGGTATCTTATAACAGTTCTTCCACTGAAGAGTTTTAAGTTTTCAATTACTATATTTTTGACACTTACTTTGTAGCTTGTAATTTGAAACCCTGTTAGCTAGATTATAAATAGATGGTAATCAGTGACTGAAAATTCTTATTTTCTTGTGTTAATGTCAGGATAAGTCCAGATCCAAAGTGAGTCTGCTTTATTTTTTATAGGCCTATGAAGAATACACCAGCAAGCTAGATGCCCTCCAACAAAGAGAACAACAGTTATTGGAATCCCTGGGAAACGGAACTGATTTTTCTGTTTCTAGCTCTGCATCAATGGACACTGTTACATCTTCTTCTTCTTCTAGCCTTTCAGTGCTACCTTCATCTCTTTCAGTTTTTCAAAATCCCACAGATGTATCTCGGAGCAACCCCAAGTCACCACAAAAACCTATTGTTAGAGTCTTCCTGCCCAACAAACAGAGGACAGTGGTGAGTCAATTTTTAATGTTGTCATTTTCCTAATATCTTTTTAAAAATGAATTGAAAACTAGTATGTTAATCACTTTATATTCACAGGTCATACAAATGGAGGCATCAGTTTCAAATAAGAATAGGAAAGATTTAACTGTTCAGTGCCAACCTGTATTGCTTTAATTTTTTGGGTTTTTATTCAACCTGTATATTTCTTAAATTATATTGTCAGATTTCATCTTTATTCCTAGCTAGTAAACTCAGTGACCCTTAAATCTAAGTACTAGATAGAATTTCAAGTGATGAGCTTTTTTTGTGGTGTCTTGAAAAACAATCTCTAGTCTGAGTTACCAAATCACATGCTGAGTTTCCAGTGTAATTGATAGTTTTCCTCTTGTCTAAATACCTTTTTTTGATTAGTGGTATTGCTATCATTAAAGTAGTATACCTTGAAAAAACATTTAAAGCAGAGAAATAAGTAGAATTAAAGTGGATGACTTATAATCTTCAAGTACAATATTGTCAATATCCTTGCTAAATGATTTATCTATAATCATCACTAGTTTTGATGTATATTGTTACTCTAACAAGTTCCAGATCAGCTGATTCAAAATAGGTATTTTTCTCTTTAGATGGCCAAAAATAAAATGGTAACAATTCTTTTTTTAATTGGTCGTGGGTCTTGAACTCTGGTCCTGGGCTCTGTCCCTCAGCAGTTCAGCTAAAGGCAAGCACTCTACCACTTGAGCCAAAGCACCACTTCTGGTTTTCTAGTGGTTTATTGGAGATAAGAGTCTCATGGACTTTCTTGCCTGGGCTGGCTTTGAACTGTGGTCCTCAGACTCTTGAGAAGCTAGGATTGTAGGCGTGAGCCACTGGCGCTCATCAGGGCAACAGTTTTTGTTTTATAAAAATTTCTTTTTGGGGGCTGGGAAGGTGGCTCAGTGGTAGAGCGCTTGCCTTGCATGCATGAGGCCCTGGGTTGGATTCCTCAGCACCACATAAGCAAAAAGAAAAAAGCCGGAAGTGGCACTGTGGCTCAAGTGGTAGAGTGCTAGCTTTGAGCTGAAGAGCTGAGGGACAGCGCCCAGGCCCAGGGTTCAGGCCCCCCGACCGGATCCCAAAAAAATTTCTTTTTGCTAGGTATGGGTGGCACACACCTGTAATTCTAACTACTAAGGAAGCTGAGACCTGAGAATGATGATTCGAAGCCAGCCTGGGTAGAAAAGTCTGTGAGACTCTTATCTCCAATAAACTACTCAGAAAAGGCCAGAAATGGAGCTGTGGCTCAAGTGGTAGAGTGCTATCTATCCTTGAACACAAAGAGGCCCTGTGATAACACCTAAGCCCTGAGTTCAAACCCCAGGATTGACTTTTTTTTTTGCCCTGTTTTTGGGGTTTGAACTTAGGGACTTTTACTTTCCTGGCTTGTTTGCTCAGGTGCATCTTTATCCCTGACTTTTCTCTTTGGGTTTTTTTTTTTTTTTTTTTAACTGTTTTGTTTTGTCTTGTCTTTTCTTTTTTTTTTTTTGGGACTGGGGATCAAACCAAGGACATTGCACTTGCTGGGCAAGCACTTTGCCACTGACCTACATCCCAGCCCTCTAGCCTTACTTTTCACTGGTTATTTTGGAGGTAGGAGTTTTATAGATTTTTCTTCTGAGACAGGCTTTAATCTGCATTACTCCAGATCTCAACCTTCTTTTTTTTTTTTTTTTTGGTCGGTCCTGGGGTTTGAACTCTGGGCTTGGGTGTTGTCCCTCAGCTCTTGAGCTCAAGGCAAGCACTCTCCCGCTTGAGCCACAGTGCTACTTCCCGTTTTCTAGTAGTTTATTGGAAATAAGAGTCTCACAGATCTCAGCCTCCTGTATATCTAGGATTACAGGCGTGAGCCACTGGTGCCCAGTGATCTCAGCCTCCTGAATAGGATAACAACCTTGAGCCACTGGCACCCAGCTCCTTTTTGAATTGTCTGTGTGTGTCTTTGTGTGTGTGTGCCTATGTATGTGTATCTGTTCGTCTGTCTGTCTTGGGGCTTGAAATCAGGACCTGGGTGCTGTTCGTAAGCTTTTTTGCTCAAGGCTAACACTTGAGTCATAGCTCACTTCCTGCTTTTTGGTGGTTAATCTGAGATAAAAATTTCCTTGACTTTCCTGCCCGTGCTGGTTTATCTGGTCAACAATCCTTAGATTTCAACCTCCAGAGTAGCTGGGATTTTAAGCACGAGTCTTGGTGCCTGGTTCCTTTTGTTGGTGGTGGTGGTGCTAGTCGTGGGGCTTGAACTCTGGGCCTGGGTGCTGTCCCTCAGCTCTTCAGCTCAAGATGAGCACTCTACCATTTGAGCCACAGTGCCACTTCCGGTTTTCTAGTAGTTTATTGGAGATCAAGAGTCTCACGGACTTTCCTGCCCAGGCTGGCTTTGAACCACGATCCTCAAATCTAAGCCTCCTGAGTAGCTAGGATTAGAGGCATGAGCCACCAGCGCCCACCTCTGGTTCCTTTTTTGATTAAGACTAAGAACTAGGGCTGGGAAGGTGGCTCAGTGGTAGAGCGCTTGCCTTGCAAGCATGAGGCCCTGGGTTCGATGTCTTAGCACCACATAAGCAAAAAAGAAAAAAGCCGGAAGTGGCGCTGTGGCTCAAGTGGTAGAGCGCTAGCCTTGAGAAGAGCTGAGGGACAGCGCCCAGGCCCAGAGTTCAGGCCCCATGACCGGACCCAAAAAAAAAAAAGACTAAGAACTAATAGACTTTCTATCTACAAGCCTGTAGATTTTGATGTTACTGTTCCTTTCAAAAGGAGTTATCAAGAATGTAATCATTCCTATCCTTTCTTCCACAAACAGACAAGAGTTGGTAGTAACAAAGCAGGCTTTAAATTATTCACTATGAAGAATTACTACTCATAAGACACAGTCAGTTCTCCTTATTCTTATTCTCCTTATTCTCAGTTTTTCCTTATTCTTTTCTTTAGGATTAAAATAAAATTTATAATTAAATGGAGAATATCTAAATGATACCTTTGCATGGATACCTCCTTAAAAGAAAACATATAAGGTGAAATTTTACATAAGTTATCTGCAAATTGAAAACCTATTTTTGAAACAGCATATATTACAAAACAGTCTGCAGCCACCCATCTCATTCCTCATAGGTTCTTCCAGTATTCATTTATTTATTTATTTAATTTTTGGCTAGTCCTGGCCCTTGAACTCAGGGTCTGGGCACTGTCTCTGAGCTACTTTTTTTTTGGTCGGTCGTGGGGCTTGAACTCTGGGCCTGGGCCTGAAATCTTCAGATCTCAGCCTCCTGACTAGCTAGGATTACAGGCGTGAGCCACCGGCGCCTGGCTCATGTCCCAACTTTTTGGTGGTTATTAAAGATAATAATTTCATAGACTTTCTTGCCCCAGCTGGTTTTGAATCACATCTCAGCCTCAAGTGGTAGAGCGCTAGCCTTGAGTGAAACAGCTCAGGGACAGAACTCAGATCCTGATTTCAAGCCCAACAACTGGCATAGAGAAGGAATTAATGAGTATTTTGAAAGATACAGCTAAGAACATTTACTAAAATATTTAACAAAAAAATGAAAGTCATCAATATGGGAAAAAAATAGATCCAAGAGCTACAACTTCTGTTTAATAAATGTAGAATAAAATAGAAGGAAGAACTGTTCAGGCATAAGAAATCTCCCTGTATTGAAAAAAAACATTCATTTTCATATAATTAATGACACTAATCATCAACAGGAAAAGGAAACTGGAGATTGATCTGGACACATACTGTGTAATTAAAAACTTCTAAGAGAGAAAATATCAGACCCTTTCACAAAGCATAGTGAGCCTTGGATTATTGATTCTCACTGGAAAACTGAGGACTAGATGATGATGGAACCGAGTCATCAATGATCAGATGAAAATAAATAGACAATTCTAGCCATTTTTGAGTTGGGGCAAGAAACAAGATGTTTTGGGTACTCAGCACTGTAGAATATTATATCCTACAGAATATAATATGTATCTAGAAATAGATCCCAGAATTTAGAAGAATTTAAAATGACAAAAAGATTCAATCAAGAGAAAAAAGTAAATATTTTAATTTTTATTGTTGGTATGTCTAGAAGAAAATAAATTGGACCTACATCTTAAAGTTCATTTAAGATATAAGCAGTTTACCACAGCCATATGTGGTGGTACATACCTGTAATTCCAGCAACTAAGAAACTAAGGTACAGGTGGGTGCTGGTTGTTCATGCCTGTAATCCTACCTACTCAGGAGGCTGAGATCTGAGGATTGCTGTTTGAAACCAGCCCAGACAGAAAAGTCTCTGTGAGACTCTTTTCTCCAATAAACTACTCAAAAAAGCCAGAAGTGATGCTGTGACTTAAATGGTAGAGAACTAGTCTTGAGCACAGAGAGGCTCAGGGACAGTGCCCAGGTCCTGAGTTCAAGCCCCAGGACGAAAGAAAGAAAGAAAGAAAGAAAGAAAGAAAGAAAGAAAGAAAGAAAGAAAGAAAGAAAGAAAGAAAGAAAGAAAGAAAGAAAGAAAGAAAGAAAGAAAGAAGAAAGAAAGGGAGAGAGGGAGGGAGGAAGGGAGGAAGGGAGGGAGGGAGAGAGAGGAAGGAAATTCTAAGATTAAATTGTACATGGACATTATTCGAATTCACTATTATAAGAGAAATGCAAATTAAACAACCATGAGACAGTTTCATCTGTTCAGCAATATTTAAATTATTACTGGCAAGGGTGTATAGAGGAAGTCCATTACACTGTGGGTGGAAATGTGAGGGGAGTAGAGCTTATTATGAAGCACTTTGATCAGATCTATGAAAATTCACAAATACTGTGTGTTCCAAGCCAGTATTCCTAGCATTATGAATTTAGTTCATAGAAATAAAAGCACTAAGCTAGGCACCAGTGGCTCATGCCTGTAATCCTAGCTACTCAGGAGGCTGAGATCTGAGAATCACTGTTCAAAGCCAGACTGGGCAGGAAAGTCCACGAGATTCCTATCTCCAATAAA